ATACAAATCAAACAAAACAAAAACGAAACAACAAAAGAAAATTATTTTCCATACCTTATTCTCCGAGGAAGCTTTAATAAAAGCGAAACATGTTAGATTTATAAACCTTACCTATTTCACCTTTATGCTATCAATCTGTTGGATTCCGATCCATAATTAATCTGTATTTGATCCCACTTCATAGATAGATAGATAGATAGATAGATAGATAGATAGATAGATAGATAGATATGGGGAGGGAGAAAGGATAGAGAAAAAGAGAGGTAGAGAGCTGGGAATAGAGAGAGAGAGAGAGAGATGTGAAAAGACTCAGATAGATAGATAGATCCGAAAAGACAGGGAGATAGATAGGGATGTGAACAGACTGTGATAGATAGATAGATAGATAGATAGATAGATAGATAGATAGATAAGTAGTTGCTAGGTATCTCAATTTAAAAAAAAAACGCTTGATTGCTTTCAAAGCAATAGAAAAGTTTTCGTCTTCTCGCTGTCGTAAAGCATTATTTAACTTGGTTAACTCTTTTTAAGATCAACCTGCCATGGTAGAAATTTAATACTGCAGAAGTTCTCAATAGAGTCGCCTCTTTTTTCACACGGTTTAAACTACGAAATTTCGTTCTCGGAAAAATAATCTAGCTAAATATTAATAAACCCACTTTGATAGTGTTGCCAGATTAGAAAATTAGAAATTTTTACTCTTTAAATATTTCTCTCTCTCTTTCTCTCTCTCTCTCTCTCTTTGTATATATATATATCTGTATCTATCTATCTATCTATCTATATATATATATATATATATATATATATATATATATATATATATATATATATATATACCGTAATTCCCCATATACAATACACCTTTATCCATAATAAGCACACCTAAAATTGTGGTGAAAATGTGAGAAAATGCTTCTACTCATGCATAATACGCACCCCTTGTTTGATAATCAAACCCTATAAATTGTACCTCTCTAATTTCATTACGGCCAGCGTTTCCTACTCTTATTAAAAAATGGTTTTAAACATTAAATAATATTTAGTTTCATGATAATTCTTATTTTATTTTACGGCAATTTTTTAAAGATTTTTTGTAACTGTGCATAATACGCACTGCTGATTTGCCTTATTATTTTTTTTAGAAAAAATGCGTATTATACATGGGAAATTACAGTATATATATATATATATATATATATATATATATATATAAGCAAAGTTTTGACTCGGCATTAAGACAAAATTGTTGAAGACTAAAAAAAATTAGCAACTGAATTTAAAATAACACCAAAAAAGGGGAAGAGAAAATCAATGTTTTTTCTAGTTTGGCGTAGAATTATCGACGGATTCCCTGAAAAGTGATAATTTATGTGTTAATTCTCTCTGCCTACACAGGTTTTGACGTTGTATAATAATACAACAGTCTTCAAGATATCGATGTGAAATCTAGCCCGTGCCCTGTGCAAGACAGAGAAGAAATCCTCATAGAAGTCAGTCCTGCAAGCAACCGAATTCAATAAGTGCTCGCGAGCCTGAGAACAGCATTATGTTACACGTACATGTCTACGTATTTAGCCAGGGACATGCTGGGCGATTTTAACGTTCAATCGCTGGATAGCCATACCCAAACAGCCAGGCTCACACCGACATTTATATTGATAAATGACTCTGCAAGACAAAACATCCTTACGAATAGAGGATAATGCCCTTCTGGTAAAAAAATATTCCGGACCAGCACTGCACTGAAACACCGCCTGATCGAGGAGGTTATTTATCGGCTTATATCTGACTAGCGGGACCGATCAACAGTAGTCTCACATATACAGGACACCAAGATGGACTAAAACTTTTAACTACTATAAACTTAGCAATTTTACGTTTAACGTAGTTGTAATTGTGTAGTTGTGTTTGGGCCTTATAATAAATTGATGCAGTCACGGCTGATGCAATATTTTTCAAGGCCAAATAAATTTCATCATACATCCCGAAAATAGATTCGTATTACTGCACACCACTGCAAATGACGTAATCTGAGGAAAAAAATAGAAATCAATTATATCCTACCAGTCCGGTGAGTCTAAAACTGATCGTATGGTGAAAGAAAGGATATTAAAGCAGTTGTGTCAATTAATTTGTACAAGGTTGTAATTTAAAATATTAAAGCAATTATTTTAATGGATTATGAGGAAAATAAAAGTAAAATAATTTGAAAATTATTTAATACAACCTAACAAAAGAAATTCCGTAAAAGTGAAATCATTTGAAAATATTTATTTAATACAATCAACAGAGAAATAAATTCTTTTATTAAAACCGATTTGTACACAAGTTTGAGTGTTAATTATTTGCCCATATCTGGGAACCTAACTGGTGCTTCCACCTCGGATCAGGATGGACCTGGGAACACCAGCAAATAAGAGGTTGTCCTACGCTCCTCAAAACCTCCTGATCAGAAGCCTTGCTGTTGGACGTAGTTTATTGTCTTACCCAGGACGCGGATGTAGTTTATCGTCAAACCCAGGACGACGGACGATAACGGTTGGCATTGCATTTAGATTTTTGAAGATCAAAGTTGACTGGAAAGCAAGAAGCTGGAAAAGAGTTCCACAAGCAAGAAGTGTGAGAGAAGAAACTGTTAGCATAGAACTTACGGATACATCTAACAATTTTAGCTGTGTAATGATGAAACTAGTACTGCGCTTAAAGAGTACTGAACTGTTTGTTATATAATATCAAAACTTCTACATGGCAGTGAATACTGAACAATATTCTCAGGAATTAAATAGAAAGTGGAAGCAACAGAAATGTGCTTCTACAGAAAAATACTAGGAAAGCAATGGTCTAAACATGTGAGAAACGACGAGGCGTTAGAGAAAATCGAAAGCAAAGGTCTTTTATAATTAACATCAGAAAGAGACACAAGGGCACATCACGAGGAAAGACGGTCTGGAAAATTTGACACTTACAGGACTTATTGAAGGCAAGTTGGACAAATGAAACCTGAGAAGAAAGCTAATTCCTAAGCTCAGAAACATTCTTTTTCCGCATTGTCAGCCATCTCATAAATACATCTTGGACCATATTGATATTTAAAAAGTAATAGTGAAATTAAACTCTTCCATTCGCTATTCAAACAGCACATCTATGTTGCTTCAAGTCTCTCCTTCATCTTTGAGGACATTGTCCAGCATTCACTGACATATAGGAGAACAGATATCACGTAACAGTTCAATACTCTTCCTTGTTTGCAATGAAATTTTTCTGTCTCTTAATACTTTGCTTAGCTTTTGGAATGCAACTTTGGCCATCCAAATACGTCTTCGGATCTGTGTCGCACTTTGCGCTACCCGTTTTTCTTTTAGGCGCCTTGTCCCTTCAGAATGTAGGTAATCATGGCCCTCCACCTCCTCCTGACTCTTGTAACTCTTAATAAGTTTTGTATTCTTATTATTTCTACCAAACCCTATTCCGACATCCATTTGCTCAAGGCCATTAAGTATGAGACACGTTGCTTTTCCCCGTCCCTCTTTTCCTCTATCTGTCCTGTGTGTAACAGATTTTCCAAGCCCTCCTTCCTCATTAAGTGTCCCAGAAATTTCAACTGCTTCTTCCTGACGTCAATTTAATATTCGACCCATGGTATACTTAACGTTCTTCAATAGAACCATATTTCTGTTACTTTGAGTTTCTTCTTCATCTTTGAGGAGATTGTCCAGCATTCGCTGCCATAGATGTGGACAGATATCACGTAACAGTTCAGTACTCTTTTATTTGCTTCTAACTCTTATTTTTTTCTGTCTCTTATTACTCTGCTTAGCTTCAGAAATGCAGGGTCCTAAAAATAGATAATTCTTCGCTAGAAACTAGGAAAAGTTACGTGATATCTGTTCCACTCTCTGGCAATTAATGTTGGAGAAACTCCGAAAGATTTTCTTGATATTGATAAATATAATTAAAGCTCATCTACTTAATTCGCGATTGTTTGTGAAGTTGTGCGAAAAAATAATGAAACGATAACCTAATCCCTGTCACATTGTGAAGTAAGGTGGTTTTCAAGAGGTGTTAACTTGCAAAGGCCTGTCGAATCATACGGTTCAAGAAGTATTTAAAGGTGAAAATCGCGTTCAATCCTAAGATCTGAAAAAGGAAAAAAAAAAACCTCTTTTTTATTATTTAGTCGACCTAAATTCCAAATTTAATGATACACAAACCAGTTAACTGGATTAAGATACCAACAATTATTCAATCCAGAAAAATCATTTTCAGCTTCAGCGTCAAACATGTCGTTTTTGAAAATCTTCATTGCTAAAAAGAGATTTTCACTACTTCTCTTACATAAAGGTAATGGCAACATTAACCTTTTCCTTATAAGGAAACATTCAGCATTCATTGACCGAAAAGTCAGTTACGCATTTCTTCACTCCATGAGCACCGGCTTTGGATCAAAGTGTAGCATCTGTTCTCCTCGTTTCTAGTGCTAATGGTTATATCAGCAGTATCCTTATAAGTAAAAAAGCATTCATTGACCGGGCAGTCAATGTCAGACGAGCGACATTTTTCTTCACTCCACGACTATCAGATTTGGATTAAAGTCAATTGTTTTTCTCCTCTCTAATACTAATGGTCATATTAGCCGTTTCCTTATAAAGAAACATTCAGCATCCATTGACGAGCAGTCAGTGCGATTCGAGTTACTTTTTCCCTCACTCTATGGGCGTCGAATTTCGATCAACGTGTATTATCTTTCCTCTTCATTTCCAGCGTTGATATTAGCAGTTTCCTTATAAGGAACCTTCATTATTTATTGACAGAGAAGCCAGTGCCACTAGTATTACGCTTTCCTTACCTCTTGCACTTGGATATATGTGTAATATCTGTGCGTTACGCGTGGATTTTCCCTAATCCTCCAGATTTACAAAATTAATTATTCTGAAGTGCGTATTGAGCATTTTAAAAAATTAAGAATTGGCCTGACCCTAGTCTTGCTTACTATTTTT